CTGCCGGCCACAGGACAATTGTAGTTTGAAGCACATAAATAACACTAGATTTTATAACTGTCACTAATAGTGCTCCATTTAAACTGAACAACACAGCAACTGCTGTCTCAATAATCAGGTTTTTATGTTCGCCATCTATATTCGAATCCCTGCCTACCCATACATACTTTTGATACCCTCAAAATATTGAACGCTTCTAGATAGTTGAATAGACAGCTAGTGTCCAATCAAAAGCAAATGCTTATGCTAGGTTTTGTACTTGTTCTTAATTACTTTTCAACCTTTCCTGTAACTGGATCAATGGCTCAAAAATTCCGGCTAGTAAAAACAGGGTACCCTAGCAGTTTTTGAACAAAAACGTGTTGGATATAATGAATCTACATCCGAATAGTAATAAAGAAAGTCTAATCAGAATCCAAGAGATACCTGAGACCGACTACTGACATCAGGGAGTAAAACTGGCTCATTCAAGGTCGTCGAGTGGATATTACAAATCTGACATTTTACGGCGAAAATTACCAAACTCACGCAACTTTAAAGTATATCCTCCACCAAAACTTAGAGGGAAAATTAGGACCCAAGAACCTGAAAAGAGGAAACTTGCCTACAAATTTATGCTTTACGTGCAACCAGTAATCAGCATTCAAACTTTATCTTTTACACAGGTGTATGGAACACATACACGGAATTTGTCTTCAAAAGTGTGTACTCTCTATTTCCTTTCTTGATGATAGCTACACATCTTCTAATAGACCCCAAGAGAGTGGTTATAAAACCACTCAGCCGGCCACAAAGCCGCAGAAAATGGCGGACTCAAAAGAGCCGACTTATTATCCCTCAATATCTATAGAATTCCGGGTAATTTTATGATAAATTACAACAAACTAGAAAACTCGTTTCAGCGTAATATAACACGCTACTGGATACGCTGTCAATGTCTAGGTCTAACCACGCTGGACTTCACAGTGTCCTTGGAAGACTTTTAGGAACTATGCTCAATAACCAACGCAAAAAACCAGAACACAAATTGGTGACACAAGAACCGTTTATTCTTGCACCAATACAGGGCCAACCATTAGGTTATTGCACACAAAGTCTTAGAATAAATGTCATAACAATAAATCACAATAATACTTCTGATAGTTTTTATCTGTCTTCGAACGAACAGCGAACTATGAAACGATGACTGCAGTATCGATGACTCCCGTTAAAATGTAGAGTTGGGTTTGAGCAAACAACCACGAATTGATCTTTCAACCTTCAACTACACTGACATACGCACAGCATTAATCTTAGAAAAGTAAAATATTAATGGTCAATCAGAGGTTGGTTAACAAGATGAGACTCAAATTCGTTCATCATACATATCAATTTACTTAATGCACTCACATGGCATCAAGAAAGTTCATTAAATCAGTTGCACCTCAGGCACTGCATCACTAGCGATCAATATATTTCACCGTGTAGTAGTAAGCAGATTTTGACAGGTGTATTTTCAGATGAAAATTGATAGCAGATGCGTCGCGGTGTTTACGTGTATCAATATTCAAATTAAATCGTCGTTAATAAATACACCTTTGAGCAATCATAAGATTTACGTCATATCTTCAATGGTTTCCACAATGTTAAAAGAAGCCTGACTACCAGATTAGGCCTAAGCGTCAGAAGGTAGCGCCCGCAAAACTCAGATCTAGTAGGACAGATGGCCATGCTACAATCATGAGTGCTATTCTATATAAAGACAACCAGAAGCCAGCCCGAAGTAATCAAATCGGTGTATGTGATTGGTATCATGGAGATACACTGTTGGCGAACGAGGCGCTGATCCATCGGCTGAAACTTCGAGACAATTCCTAATGATCATGAAAACTTTCACAGACAGCCCACACTCACTGCAGTTGAGGCATGGCCCAATTACGCACTCAACATTTTTGGAATAATTTTCTACTTTCAGTCTACTTACTTTAAGCAATTCTTTGTTTGGTTTCTTCTCTATTTGTCTACTCTAACATTCGATATCCATCCTGTTCTCATAAAAACGCCTTTTTCTGAGCGTTTCTGACTTATCTACAGGATCGTATGGTGAAACAACACATGCAAGCCCCTGCCTTAAAACAAAATTTGCACCTCCAACAAGATAAGTTGATATCTCTTCTTTTGTTAAGTTCAGCAAAGCGATTGCAGTCAAGGAGATAGATTCTATACACTGGAAGCTGCCAAAGCTCTAGGGACTTCAAAAACTAAAAAGAAACAAGCGCTAGAACATCATGAGTTTTACTGAATTCGGTCACATGGGAATTGGAAGTATGGCTTCCTCATCTGGTTTATATTTGATGTCAGTCGATTTCTGTGCTTTCACCTCCACTTTCCTATTTCTTAATTTCCGGTACCTTGTTGACTGCTACACAGGACTGCCTGGTGAAACAACAATACCTAATCTTAAGACGACATTTTTTCGGGACGCATCATACATGTAAATTATAAGCGGACAGCTGTCATGTTCACTCCATTCAGAAGACTCAATCAGTTAGGGGACTTATTTAGTTACCAGAATTAGGCAAAGATGTGGATTCTTTAGATGTCACAGAGAGGCGGACTCCAGGAAACCGACGAATTGGTAATGGCTGTTCAGGTTGATATTGGACATTGCTATAATTTGGACTGATTCAAATTTCGTTTTGTTTTTTCGCTGACATGGAACGGAGGTATGAGAACCCAGATTTTTTGTTGATAATCCACACATAGCTTACAGTCAAAGAAAAACGACGAATTCGGAGTGGCCAATTACAGCTCTGAATCTGGTGACAACAATGGGAGAGAACTTCATTTATCACAAGACGTTAAAGTTAAGGACTCCAGTGAGCCTAATTTTAAAGGTTTGTTAGTGCTTCCCGATAATGCGTTTTGACAGATATAATCCGTGGCATATCCGAAGCTCTGAATAGTGCAGCTGATAACTTTGAGTGAGTACTTATAGATATTTTGTATTCCTTAGAGAATGTACTCAAACTCTGGAGACATCAATGAAACATGTCAACGACTTAGTTGAAAAGGCAAAATCACTTGAAACGAAGCTAAGAAACAAGAAATGTTTCCTTATCGACCACTTTCAAACAGTTTTCTCGAATTTAGAAGAGGATCGTCATCTCGAAAGCTGAGATTTTTATTCATTCATTTTAAATCATGCAATAAAGCTAACCAATAAAAGTTAAAGTTTTCAGCTTCAATCACTTCGCCTTACTTAAATTCCATCCGGTGTGCACTGCGAAAGTGTTGAGACAGGTACTCTGTTGCGACACGTATTCATTAGATAAACAGCTTCAGGTAAAACTTTTGGGAAAGTTAATCAAAATCACTTTTTAATAATCTACGCAAAATAGCGTTGGGATTCGAGCCCTTCTTACAAGTAAAAGAAAGTTTTACGTCCGTACTTTTTTATAAACAGGGAGGATAGACTTTTAATTTTAAAGTGAGACACTAATAATGTCAGTCAAATTGTTTGAGAAATTCTAATTTGTACGTGATTCCTTCCCTTCACTTTTATAAACCATGTACCGTATTTTGTAAACAACTTCAACGAAGTGTCTGGGAGGTTATTTGTGAATATGAATGTATTTTCGGGTACTGAAACGTAGTTTTTCCAAAAGCTGGTATTATAGCTGATTTCGCTGCAATTTCTTGTTTTTCTGTTGCAACCAGTGGATATTTAAGTAATAAAGAACAACCCTGCAGTCCACCCAAATTCTTTTTAAAAAGTATTCATACTATAATCGTTCAGGCCATTATGACAGCGGTCACAATGGCGATAGCATACGATACAAAACGCAAAACAATTAAACTTGAAAGTTCCATCAATTCTGTTTCAAAATTTAAAGTAGAGATGACCGCCATGGAACACAATTTTGCATTGTTTATGTAAGTTACTGTGCAAAACATCGCACATTAGACAAACGTAAAGTATCTCTCTGTGGTATCGCATGCACTTCAATCGAAATTGACATCAAAAGTCAAAAGTAAATTAAAAACTTTCCGAGTACGTTCATGTCGTTTTGATATTATCATTTACCAGCCGGATTCAAGGGATCTGAATTTGTGTTTTTGTGGCCAAAGATAATCGAACCACGCAAACACATCACAGTTTTCACAATTTACATAAAATGGGTTACTCTTTATCTAAATAGCTAGGAATTAAAGCACCAGAATTATGTATCGAACAATTATATGAGGCAGATTACTTGATGCAGTATGAAATCTTATTTTTCATACTGTTCACGGAGAATTCCTGACAACTTATATTTCTTTCCAACATCCCGTGTTGCGAGGGAACTCACATCTGCAGTTTAGTCGCTAATATCAACTCATATAAGTATACATAATTGGACCCAATTTGATGGAGTTTCGAAAGTTGTTCGTTTCGCTCATCACCTCAATGTAAAAGCTTGCGAAATTTCGTCCCATGGCGTTCCCTGTCCTATAATATACCAACTTTGATTTTATCAAGAGTGTGTTACTTTCCGACAGTAGTTTTGATACTGAGTGAGACACATAGAGATGAAGTTATGTGAATTATTTGGTTTCTGCAGTCAATTACTTGGTGAAATAACTAACTTAAAGCAAGTAGTGTGCCTTTCCGCAAGACACATTCCTATTATTTACAGTCAGCTGACGAGGCGATGTGGGTTACCACTGGATGTTCAGCAATCCATAAATCTAAAGAGAAAACGTAACTTTTGAGGTTGACAATAATGTTCATGATTTAGTTAGTATTTATCTCCCTATTGATAATGATCAGTTTCATACTAAACATGTTTTTATATGGTTTTGATTTCTTGATGTACCATAGTATATTAAAGTTTGCTGTAAATGTGCATCTTTGCAAGGGATTCGTGCTAAAAATATTTATTCCAGTGACATGTCCTTGAACTGAAGTATCTAACTGCGATTCTGTAAGTGCCTTTCAAGACAAAAATCCGTGCAAATCTGAGGTTTGTTGTGATATACTTGGATTTATTCACAAATTGTCCTAAGGATACGTTTCTTGGATAGCATTAAAAGACATTATTTCACAAAACTTTTAATTAATACAGTGTATGTGCACAAATATTCTACCAAAAAGGACTTTGATGTAGTTTCAACAAAATGACAACCCTATTCTAAATATTTAACATTCATATGTACACAAGACTGAAGTCTCGAATTACTAATAAACTTACTGCTTACACTGAAATTTATTTTATTAAGAAAAAAATATTTCAAAATAAAGGCATTCAAGTAAATTCTCTCCAAATGAAATTTAAGATAAGGAATGAAAAATTATGGAAAATTCAAATTGCACATGATTGCGGTATGAAATTTGTGATGAGGGTAGAATGATGATTCAAAAAATTATTAGAAGAAAACAGTCACTCTCGAATGCAAGCCACTTCTTGTTTCATTCTCACCAGAGTATACACTAGTTGGCTTATGCGACGGATGGACACGATATAAATTTGGAGTTATTGTTTCACAGCTGAAAATCAAATAAATTTATACGATGTTTGTCTTAATAAAGTGTTGTTCATAAAAAAGCATTCGGAAAACTATGTCAGATTACTATATCTTCACGACAAGGCAAGCTTTACTCCATTATATTCAAGGGATTTACTGACTGGATTATAAAGCATACAACGAAATTATTTCACTACACAAGATATTGCGAATTTTCTTTTCAAATTTACTCACTCTATATAACCAATCAGTGTTTCTGTGAAGTTTCTGGGGTTCACATACTTATTTCGAATCAGTGGAGAGCCACAGCTGACAAACTAAGATACTATCAGTTACACTAGACTAAACCTTGAGTTATTTGACTGGTTAAAATTCAAATGAAAGGGAACTTTGTGTGACAGAGACTTTGAAAGAAACTGAAACTTCAAATCCAACAATAATTTGAAGTAATGTTACTTAAATACATTTTACTTACCAGATTTCTTTGATCCCTCGTATGACGAAGTAGGAGAAAATTGTCATTGCTACCAATACGGCATAAAACCAAAAGTTTGCAAAGTCGTCAGCTAAAGAAAGTAATACATGCTGATAAATATATATTTTTGTACAGTAACACTAAGGGTACTTTTATTCCATAACTGCGTTACAAATATATTTCATGTTGCTACCACTGTATTAGAATTTCTTATAAATATATAGGCTTCGAAATGAAACAAATACAAGATTGGCTTTAAAGCCTATACGCATCCAAACTGCTTTGTTCATGTCTTCGAGCTGAAAAACTAGAGAGCCAACAAAACTAAACGAAACTCTTGCCTTCCAAATAACTGAGTCAAAGACTTCACTGAGCATTAGACTAATGAACTTAGGCGTCAAAATTCGTGCGTAGCACGATTCTTTACTAAATATAACTAGATTATTTGAAATTTAAATACTTCACCTAATAAGTATCATAAAGGTTAATCTTGACCATGATAGGTAATTTAATTTTTTTTTTTAATGTTTTTAGTTTTTAATTTACAGCTTGATTCCACACTGTATTTTCGGTACAAGTATGGAATTTTCAGCATGGATATCGGTAGCCCAAATTTTGCAGGCCGACCACAGATATCAGGTGTGCGTCGGTGAGGGCTCGAACCCCGGACCATGTGCATGGTCGGCGAGAGTCCTAACCACTGTGCCACCGACGCACGAATGCGGCACTTCTTAATGCATCCTACTGTTGTAACGTACTCGGAAGAGAGGTATCATAGCTCAAGAAAACGAGAAGCTGATTAACAAAACCAGTAACCTCTAAACTTCTGTGGTGTTTGCGTGACTCAGACGAATCTGCTTAAAAGAAACGATTTCCAATATAGCAGTATGCAGTTAAGGAAACGAGAACATAAGTAAGTTAGATTTTATATGAACAGACATAGATCGTCACTGGTAATTAATAATCTCTGAAAAGATATGGATTTATGCGGATCAAATTGTTTTTGGTCTGCGGCTATGGTTAGTGAACTTCTTAGTATTATACTAGAAATAACCAGTAATTCAAGAGGAACCTCTGTGTGACAGTAAGTTCGACAACAGGTCCCACAAAGAAGTGAAGTTAGCAAGATAAGCAGTTGAGAATGTTCTAAATCAGAGACATAGTGAAGACAAAGAGAACAAAAGTATTGCATCAAGGTTAAAATAGAGCATACATTCCATGGATTATAGGAATAAACGCCGATGTCAGCTAAAGAGTTTATATGGCCAGATCCGTAGTCAGAGAATTTATGCCGTTCAACAGCACTGTATTTGATTGTTTTCTACACTAATTAGCCTCTAGCTAACCCCCTCCAGAAGAAATAAAATAGTATAACACTCATAATATTGGATCAAGAAAAATCACATCAAATAATCTTTTTCAAATTATGCCAAACTCCCTTTGTTTTCTAACAAGTCTAGTGCACTTCGAGACAGACGGCATGTAGCAAAGGCCAGTGAAATATTTGAAAACTTCACTAGTCATGTTTGAGGATCCTATACACATAACATACTGTTACATAGTATCCAGCGTTAATAAGTATATCTAGGAATTAGACTAAGGTGCGTTCGATTAGACTTGCACAATACGACATCTGTAACACATTAAGAATTCCGAAGTTAACTTTTTCTGAGATACAACTAAACACGAAGCGTCTAAACAATTAGGAATTTTAGGTGGTGTTAACAGTTCATCAACTAAGCTGATCTGGGTTTTGTCATAAAAACAACCAGTATTACCTGATGAACACAAACAGATTTAAACTTCGAAAAATAAGGACAAGTTTACGAACAAATTTTTCTGCAGCCTGGTTTTCCAAAAGAAACTTTTGAATGTTAAAGAGTGACTACAGCCTATTGTTCTGCTAAAAATTCTTCCACAGAAATTAACTCCTGGATTCAGAGGGAAATACAGAAGTTAGAACACAGACACTGACTGAGTTTCAACGTAGAACTTTGCGCATAAGTGCAGCAGTTCAAGTTGCCATACTCCATTTTGCATATAATGGTAAAGGAAGAAGAAACCATAATGAGGAGAAGTGCACAACAGGAAGCATCGAAAAACACAAGGAATTAATGGATCTGGGGGAGCGCAAAAGTGAATACAACTGCGCTGTTGAAAACAATTTAGCCATTTCACCAACAATCACCGGCCATCAGTTCTCAGCATCTTGAAGACTTCAGCTAAGTAGTTTTCATCCCCCAACCTGGCTCAAACTAACATTCAAAATTCTCAAAGATTAATGTCACATTTTGATTTGACCACACCTAACCCCTTCTCAACGCAACCATGTATCAGCTATCATTGATCGATGAGGGAAGCGATAGCTCTGCGTGCATAACACACCCTAGCCTTCTAAGTTAGTGTATATTCATTACCCCATCGATTAACTTCCCTTCCTTACCTTGTACTCTACGCCTAACTTCAATACTCACAATACTATACGTATTATACGAGAAAGAACTCAAACATTTGCGTCCAACATAGATGCATACCACGATAGCTTATTAATATCTCAACAGCTGTAAAAGATGGAATACGGGTGTGGGGAATCACACCAGTAACCTGTCCTTAGAAGATCGAGTGTGAGTAACAGATATTTCACACCATACCTCTAACCATCACCAACAGCATAGCCATAGGCTTATGTTTAATCTGTTTTTCTTCGAGTGGTACTAAAGCTAGATCCAGACAGTCCACACTTAAACCAACTATTGAATACAGGCATGTGCACAAATTGGCCTTTATTTTTGGAGCGCCGTACTGAAATCTGACAGGTCAACGAAGAATAGAAAAATTCTACGGACGATTAATTAAGATGTGTAGATTATAGGATATCGACTGCAACGATGCGTAGGCTTGCCGTTTAAACTGACTGTTTAATGGCAACTGACTTGTTGTTTAAAGAGATTGTAATTTGGAAGGAATTAATTGAAAAATCTGAGGAAATATTTGTTGTTGCACTGAACTATACCACTGTTTATTTTTACATTACTAATTGTAGGTAACTACGAAGATAAATATTACACTTCCTTACGTATACATACCGTAAGTCCCACACTATAAACGATAGCTACTAATCATAATGTTAAGTGAGCGGTGTAAAAGATACCCGATGAATGATATACTTTTTTTGAAAACAAGGTGCTTCATATTAGAGCATTAAATCTTTGTCAGAAGAGTTTTATGAATATGGTAAAATAGTATTTCCTTAGGGATTTCTAATCAGTTAAAACTGTAATACATAACAAGAATAAGATTGTCGAGGTACTTACGAGGTAGATACAGAATGTGACGGTTTGCTACGTCCATTTTATAGCAAGCGTCATTAGACAAGTGAGGATAAAAATACTAGATGGAAGTTAAAAACCCCACTGATTATTTAAACCAATAAGAATTTTTCTGACAGCCTTGAAACTTATAGCCAATTGAGAGAGAAACAGGGTTAGAAAAACATCGTTGACTGATGATCGATAAAACATTTAAAGGATGGATATAAACTATAACAGGAAAAACAGTATTTATGAAGTCGACCTATCTATCACTAGTTTATGCGGTTGTTCATAAGCGTAGATTAGAGATAATTAAATAGACGTTTAGTGGGATATTTTCATGGCTTTGGGAGGTAATCATGGACTTAACAAAAAATAAGTAACTCCATAGAAAGTGATGAAAACATTTTACATAACATTCTAAGTGTTTCCAAATTCTCAGTGTCCCTAACTAAACGAGAAGTTGTATTGTCTTACAAGGTGGAAAAATCTTCTAGGTGGTTTTAATTATCATTAAAGTGTATATAAAATGAACAGTCATTAAGAACATAAAATTAAACAACTAAGTGACTCGCTTATATATTTGGGTTAGTTATATTCTGTGATGTGAGAGAAAATATAGATACTACAAAAATATAAATGAATGGGGTACACTGAATGTAAAGTAGAAGGATGACAAATAATAAAATGCAGTGCTTATACAGCGCAAAGTAATCAAATAGTGAAGGATTAGCTCAGTGTAAATCCAACGGGTGATGAACAATATAAATAGTCGTGTTAAGAAATCTAGGTGATAAGGTGCAGGAATGACAACACCAGTGAATACGATAAGATTATGGTATGTTAAGGAGAGCCCAGAGAATGAACACATCGATGTGACCACCATTAGTAACTTATCTTCAATTCAGTGTATGAATGAATACAGGTCTGGTTGTCTAACAGAAGTGCAACTCATATGCAACGAAATGTCCTTTCAGAAGACCTACTCAATCTGCGAACTAAATACATCACTAGGTGTGTTGCCATTCAACTCTGCTTCCATGAAAAGTTCTTTCATATGACTTTAATCTAGACACTACTTTTCATATAGTATGGAATTCACTGTAGTTCGCTCTAACTAATCGGTTCTTGTCGATATATACTTCTTTACAAAATTGGTGGGACTGGCTTTGTCATTGCTTTATTTGTTACTACTGCTTTGTTCGAACTCAATACAGGAAATTTGTGCATGAAAAATCAACAAATAATATGTATCTAGCTCTATGACTAGATTATGTTCCATTTGTACTGGATAAGTTTGGAACTGTGGAAATGGATGTATTATTCATCTCAAACAGTTTCCCTGTAGATGTTTTGCTTTATCGACTCGTCCAACCTTTCAATAAGAAAATCCAAAAAGGAAATGCTGTTTCAATTTTTTTTCCGAGTGAATTTAATAGCTGGGTAAATATTATTGAAATTCTAGATTGCTTATCAAAAACCATAATTAGATCGCCCACGCAACCGCAAAAACATTGAACTTTAACTCTAAGTCTTTCTAAGACGATAGTTTTTCCTTGAGGGAACCCGCTCATAAGAATCCTCTTTAAACAAAAAGTGAAGGTTCATCGTATATTATAGCGGCAACTCTTTCAATCTCAATAATTATTCTTCGCCTTAAAACCTGCTTACACATATACTCAACTGTTTCGGCAAGACGGACATTGGTTTATAGTTACGTAATGCCTACAGATAACATTGTTTTACTTATTAGGTTTATACTTCCAACGTTTTCAACACACTTTTTACTCCACACCTGACCAACTCCTGATGTAGAGATTCTAGTAAAGTTTATATGCCATTTATCGCTTAAATGGTAATAGAACCAGCACTATCTAGTAATAGCAGGAACTGGTTCCGGCTAATTTACGCCACCGATAGTAAGTAGAGCTGTTTCAGCAATTGTCTTTAAGGCAATTAACAATCTAAAAAAACTCTTTAAAGAGGGGGGAATACTCTCATTAACAATCTAGCTGACCCACAACCACTTGTATCACACACCTTTAGTGACAATGCTGCATGGTCGGTGATCCGAAGTACTCAAACACCAGAAAGCGCCCGGCCTTAGACAATTTACACTTGGTTGTTTTCAAAGATGGTGGAAAGACTCTAGTTAGGCAACTGACTAGATTATTTGGGAAAGTCAGATGATTCAAACGATGTAGAATGAAGCTACTACCACGTCTATCTTTAAACCGAACCTACGTAATTGATGTGACAATCATGGGACTATTAGATTCTCACCAGTTACGTGTTAAATATTGGCTTAAATCTTCTTCCAGGGGAAATGGGTGTAAAACGCATGAAGAGCAGGCTGGGTTTTGTTCAGAATTTGGATGTATTGATCATGTGTTGTTCCACCTCTCCTTAACACTGCCATCGACAACATTCTATCCATGCTGAAAATTCCATACTTGTACCAAAAATACAGTGTGGAATCAAGCTGTAAATCAAAAATCAAAAAAAAAAATCAAAATCTACAGAATGCTCTGAAAAGTATGTGAAGGCGGCGTAAATCTGCCACGTTTTCGACTTATTGTATGTAGACAATACTATCTTACTGTGCAACTAGACGCAGTTTATTCAAATAGCATTTAATCGGTCGGCAATCAGTATTCTTTTTGCTCTGTGCAACATATTGTTGCGAGAGCGACGGGAGCATCTACTAACACTCATCTATGAAGGTGATTCGCTTGCATTAGTCGATAAGTTCCTGTATGTAGGTAATTGTGTGAGTATTGGGAGTGGTGTGATGAATGAAATGCCCAATAGTATAAAGAAAACCAGGGCGACATACTTTATCCTGGTTTGCCCATGGATTAAGAAAAGAAGACAATGAAACAAACACGACAGTTGAATATATTTTTACATGTCTATACACAAATAAGTTAGAGTCAAAGCAGTTCATTTCTTTTGGCGCTTGGCTTTAGTCAGTTTAAGTTTCTTTTTGTGTTTCTTTTCAAAGTGATCATCTGTGTCATCCCGATTACGTTTCCTAAAGAGAAGAGAAATCAAGAAGAACAATTACCATGAGTGTTAACTTAGAATATTGTAACAGTTCATTCATCAAATGTCAATTGTGTTCAGTATTACTTATAGGATTGGCATGCTGTTAGAGTGATCAGTATGGTATTCAATAACGTAACTATTAAAAAAATTAGACGTTTAAAGAAATAAATAATAGTATAAAGTATTTGCTCCTTTAAACGGAATTTGTGAAATCAATCACACGACTAAATGTACATCGATTGTATCTGATTGTAACTGCTTTGTAGATAAATAAATAACGCATTCAAACACTACCCCACACAGAGGTATGAACGGTAAATCTGCTACACAGTACATACAGATCACTGTTGAGCCCACCATATTGCAATTCATACATAAACATACTTATTGTACTATAAGAAATACATAGTAAATTTTAATGGGATACCGGCAGGAGTGGCAATTAAGGCCTAGGAAATGTTAATTTCGATTAATTTCCCTGAAGAAGTTCGGACCAGATTTCCGAACAAAACGTTGGAATTACTGATTTCAATATCGCTGAGATTTTACAAATATAATTTTTTAGGAAATAGCATTTACAAAAACTATAACGGAAGTAACCAGCAGTACGAGTTACATTTTATAAAGAAGATCGGAAAGTGATAAAAATATTTTAAGACAACTGACAAAATAGTAACTACTGGTCGTAACAATTTAGATACGTGTTTGGAATTACTTAACCACATTACCATAATTAAAAATTCAAGTTAGAAAATTTTGAACTGAAAGGCAGAATAACTACTTGGGCGTTGAAATCGTCTGCTAAGACGACTATGTCTGAGCCTTTCGCTCTTTCCAGCAAACTAGGTAGTTTTTTGTAAAAGTTATCCTTTAATTCATCTAAACTGCATGCAAGTGGAGCGCAGACAGAAACTGTGAAAAGACAGCGACGAGTAACGCCACCTTTCCTTCTCTAAAGGACCCGTTCAGACGGACCACAAACATATGACTATCTACTGGGGATCTAGTCAAGAAGGGACTTCTCTTAACTGACACTCACTACTATTCCTACACCTGCGAGTTCTCGCAAACTAGCTGGAGAATCTCCTGACATCCGTAAAGTAAATTTCGTAGATTCACCTTGTTGGCCAGGTGTGGTTAAGTGAATAACCGCACTCGGGCCTTGTATGCGTGTCTCTGAAAAACAACATACATCCATAGCTAGAGACGCTACGGTTTTGATTAGTGGTGTTTGTAGTCCGATTTGGCAGAGGGTCCTGAAGTTAAATTCTATGACACGAAGTTGGCGATGGCTTTAAGAAATTATCAGGAGTGCCTTCTTAGCTGTCGTCGCTATTTGTGGTCACAGAATGAAAGGAAGATGACTGATCAGCCTGAAGAATGGTAATAAAAGTGGTAGGGAAACATAATGATGAGGGTGACTTGGACGAAGGAAAATGATTATTAGGAGGGCTTCATGCACTTTTAGAAGTGTGTCGGTTGCCCGCACCGTAAAAGTTGGTTATTTCTCGTGGTACCTGAAACACAGAGAGATTTAGTGTTGCGTGACTGCAGAGCCCAGGGGACAACAGCATGAGGCCGGTTACACGCGGTCTGTTTGAACTGGCTTTTAGATTTGATTCCATATTATTGGCTTTCCACCGGCTACGGACCATCGTAGGAAAAGTCGGGATGTATAATTTTCGAGGTCGACCTTTCTAACAACCCTCTCTTTCCAGATTAAACAGATAACATATATGGCATGCTGGTTATCTGAGGGAAATACTTTACCACTGTTACATCCCTATTCCTCAGCAGTACGAATTTTCCAACAGATCCCCAGAATAGTGTGTGAAGATCTTACACTATACCGGTAAATACTTTAAGTCGAATCTCTATCCTAACAGTCTTCCTGGAATCGTAGGATCAGCAGAAACATTATTTACAGCTAGTGTAGCTTGTTGAGATATGCAAGCCCAACCAACGCGTCAAGGTAGGAGCCATCGGTCGGGATAGCTAACAGATATATCTCAAATGGAAAGTCGTAAAAATTGGTTACCATAGGAATGGAAAGTGCAAAAGAACACTAGAAACTTATGTGATTTTGTTACTGG